CATTGTTCTTTATTTAACAAGCTGTACATGAGACGATCTTCTCAAGAATTATAGTAGTGACAACCTCAAAGCAAGCTTGGTTGATACTTCAAAATGAATTTCAAGGTTCATCAAGGGTGATTACGGTAAAACTTCAAACCCTTCGTCGTGAGTTTAAAATTTTGTTCATGAAAAGCAATGAATCGGTACAAGATTTTCTTTCTCGAGTGATTAAAATTGTTAGTCAAATGAAATCTTATAGTGAACATCTTCCTGATCATATAATTGTTGCAAAAGTTTTGAGAAGTTTAACTCCGAAATTTGATCATGTTTTTGTTGCAATTGAGGAGTCAAAAGATTTATCTACTTATTCATTTGATGAACTAATGGGTTCCTTGCAAGCACATGAAGTAAGGTTGAATAGGTTACTTGAAAAAAGTGAAGAAAAAATATTTCAGGTTAAGGGGGAGTCTTCTACTTCAAAAGAAGACAAAAAATCAGCAGGAAGAGGACGTGGCAGAGGAGAATTTCGTGGTAGAGGAAATGGAAGAGGAACAAGACACTTTGATGGGCAGAACAAAGGCAATCAAATTATGATCAAAAAAATTACAAGAGTGGAATTTAATGTCACTATTGTAAAAAAATTGCTTAAATGAAGATAGATTGCTGGAAAAGAGAAAAGAAAGTAAGTTATATGGAGGAAAATGAAGAAAATAGTAAGTTGTTTATGACTCATTCACAAGTTCATGATATCTCAAATGATATTTGGTTTTTAGATAGTGGATATTCTAATCATATGTCAGGCATAAAGTCAATATTTAGAGATATTGATGAAACTCACAAGTTGAAAGTTAGACTTGGAGATAGCAAGCAAATCCAAGTGGAAGAGAAAGGAACAATTGAGGTGAAGACAAATCAAGAGAAGGTAAAATACCTTGATAATGTTTTCTTTATTCCTACTTTATCATATAACTTGTTGAGTATTGGGCAATTGATAGATGATAGATATTCAGTAATATTTGATGATAATTCATGCACTATTAAAGATAAAAAATATGATTTGATTATAGTAAATGTTTGCATGACGTAAAACAAGATGTTTCCACTTGATGTGTCAAATATTGAAAGGCATGCGCTTATCGCAACTCAAAAGAATGAGTCTAGTTTATGACATTTAAGATATGGACATCTTAACATTAAGGGTTTAAGGTTGTTAAGTAAAAAAGGAATGGTTTTCGGATTACCTAAGATTAATACACTTGATGTATGTGAATGATGTATTTATGACAAACAAAGTAAAAAACCATTTCCTATTAGAAAAGGACATGGAGAGCATCCAATTGTCTTGAATTAATTCATGCTGACTTATGTGAACCTATGAATACAAAATCATTTGGTGGAAATCAATATTTTTTATTGTTTACGGATGATTATAGTCGCATGAATTGGGTATATTTTTTGAAATTGAAATCTGAAATATTTTAATTTTTGAAAATTCAAGGCACTTGTAGAAAGGCAAAGCGGTAGATATATAAAGACACTTCGGACAGATAGAGATGGTGAATTTTTATCTAACGAGTTTAATTCTTTTTGTGAAGAAAATGGTATTCACAGAGAATTGACAGCACCATAAACACTAGAGCAAAATGGTGTAGCTGAGCGTAAGAATCGGATTGTCGTTGAAATGACAAGAAGTTTGCTTAAAGGAAAAAACAGAATACTACGATGCAAGTAAAAGAATCCTTTCGATTCAAGAAAACTGATGTAG